CAGGGATCAATGGTGGCGGCTCTATGACGATCCGGTGCTCGATCGGCTTGTCCGACAGGCGTTCGCCGCCAACACCGACCTGCGGATTGCCGCCGCCAATCTGGACCGGGCGCAAGCGGTGTTTGCGGGAAGCGGGCGTACCCGCCTGCTTTCCACAAGCCTGAGCGGAGGCGTCCGGCGGCGATGCAGTTCCCGGACAGGGCGGTAGCGGCCATGCGCAATGGTCGTATGACGCCGCTCAACGTCGCATGGGGAAGTCGATCTGTCCGGTCGTATCCGTCGCTCGATCGAGGCCGCCTGCGCCGATGCGCAGGCGAGCGCGACAGCACAAAACCGGGTCGCGGTGACGATCGCGGCGGAGACCGCGCGCGCTTCATGCCGATGCTTTGCGCGCTCGCCTGTGCGGAGGAGGTGGCGCGCCGTTCGATCGGGATCGCGCAACGAGGGCTGGACCTGACGGAAAACGCGACAAGGGGCGGTGCCGCGACCCACCTGATGTTGAACGGTCGGCAGCCGCATTGGCCGAGACGCGGGCGACCTACCCGTCTTCACCGGCAGGCGGCAGGCGACTGTTCGAACTCGCGGCGCTGTTTCGGCCTGCCGCCGGCGCAGGTGCCCGGAGGACGCAAGGCGATGTGTCGTTCCGCCTGCACCGTCGCCACCATTCCGGTGGGTGATGCGCGGCACTGCTTGCGCGCCGGGCCCGACGTGCGAGGCCGAGCGGCAACTGGCGGCCGATACCGCACGGATCGGGGTAGCGAGCGCCGATCTCTACCCGCGCATCTGCTGGGCGGATCGGGCGGTTTTTTTCCGCAACGATCAGGTAAAGGGCAGCGACCCGTTCAGCTTCTCCATCGGCCCGCTGCTCTCGTGGAGCTTCCCCAACATCGCGGTGGCCCGCGCGCGCATCGCGCAGGCTGAGGCCCAGACGCAAGGCTCGCTGGCCCGGTTCGATGGCATCATGCCGACGGCGCTCAAGGAGGTCGAGCAGGCGCTTGCCGCCTATGCCGCTGCCGGGCGACGCGCCGAGGCACTGACGAAGCCGTGCGCCGCGCCGACGCGGGCCTACCGGGCTCGCGGACAGGCGCTATCGGGCCGGGGCGATCTCCTTCCGAATTGCTCGACAGCCAGCGTCAACTTGTCAGCGATGAGAGTGCGAGCGAGGGCGATCCAGACGCTTGGCTCTACGCGCGTCGATCTGTTCAAGACACTGGGAGGAGGCTGGCAATCCGCGCCGATCAACACGTCGTCACGGAGCGCGCCAGCGCAATAGGTGATTTAGCGTCTGGCGGGCGGCGCAGGCCATCCCGCCACGCGAAGCGTTCACTCAACAGCAGGTGCGAGACAGGACGTTGATCGGCATCGGCGACATGCAGAGCATATGCGAATGACTTCCCAACGAAACACCTGCAGCCGGGGTACCCACTTCCACCGGTGAAACGAGGAGAGGCGGGCTGCTGTTAATCCATGTTTGGGAGACGTCGGCCTTTTATCACTATCACTCGGGGGTACACGCGCCTCGCAAGCGCGACCGATGCGAAGCTGCTTGCCGTTGCGCTCAACCGAGGCCATGCGAGCTGATGATGCGTCCGGGCATTGTCCCTGCGGGCCACCGCCCTACGACAATTCCGGTCAGATCGACTGGCAGCAGGCTGGATCAAAATCCAGACCTGCATCCGCGTATCAGCGTCGCGACGCGGCACCCCTCGGAACCAAAATGACACCCGCCATCGTCGCCACGCCCCGATCGAGCGAGAACCGGCTACACTCGCCGAGGCCCAGCAGGCCGCGCAATTTCTTCCGATCTGATTGACCGAGGGAGAGATGTTGCCGATCTGCTCCGCCGTCAGAGCATCGAGGATCGTCAGGGCCTTGAAAACTATTTACTTGTTGATAAAGCAAAATCGCGATCGATCCTGTCGATGCCGCCATTCGGCAGTTCACGGCACAAATAGTCCGGCCCCGGGACCAGCGATATCGACGGTATGCCGCACTGATACAGCGGAGCGCCTTCTCCCGGAAAACACCGCTCAGCCGGCGCAGCCGTCGGCTGCGCAACTTGGAGCGCCCCTGCACCGACGCCCGGTAAATCTGTTCCATGACCGGGTTGGTCGTATAGACGATCTCGCGCTCCAGTCGTCCGGTCGGTTGCGGTCGCTGCATGACCGTGGTCGCTTCCATTCGAGGCATCCGAGATGCTCGAGCGTCAGTCCGGCGACTGCGCGCGCGTGACCCTCCTTTCCATCCCACAATTCTTGATGGCGCTGCAGCCATGCCAGCGTCGCCTGCCCGTGTCCCTTGACGATCTGGGGTATCTGAAAATGTCCCGTCGAGAACAAAAGACAATCGAGCGTCTCTCTCCTTGCGCTGCAGATGGGCTGGGCCAGCGCAAGCAATCCGGTGCAGCTCCGTTCTCCTCGCACGCATTCGGCCCGTCGGTGTGGGTGTTGACGATGATCGTCTCGTCCTGAACCCTCCCCGGCAGGACCGCATGGATGCTGTCGGTTCCGGCTATCTCGAGCGCAGCGTCGGTACCAGCGTCGCCGATCTTCCCGCCCCTGCATCGCGTAATGGGGCCTCCTGATCGCTTGCCACCCACAAGGCGGGAATATCCGCATAGGGCGGTGAACGGTAGCACCTGACCTCCAGGCCAATTCTTCCGACATTCCATCAGACAGACAAATCACGCCGCGAACGCCCGCCGCGCGGCGAGGCAGGAAGATCGTTGTCAACGGCCCCAGCAGGGGAAGTGCCTCGCCTTCAAAGCGAAATCGGGTTCCATCCGGCAGGCGTGATTTCCGTTCGAACATCATCCACGCTTTGAATCGTGTGGAGATCGAAGGTTTCACGGGAAGTACCGCAATCCGATCGCGGGCTTTGAAAATCTCTTTGGCGTCTATCGAACCAGATAAGCTCCGCTGACCCCCGTGACGATGTCCGCCCGAATAGGGATAAGGTGCGGCGGAATGGCCGTCCCGTTATCCAAGGTCAGGCTGGTCCGCTTCGGCGTCCAGCGCGCTGAATGCGATGGGTTTGGCGCTGCGCGGAAAATCCCGTGCTTCCAGTTCCGTGGCAATATAATCCACCGCACGCTGATGCGCTGGGCTGGCGTGAGACGCGGTCGAAGGCGTTCAGCCGCTCGATGCTGCCATAGCTTGGGTGCCTCGGGCAGGACAGGAACCGTCCACCGGCGGAGGCGGCGCGAGACGGTGATTCCGGATCAGGTGGCATCCACCAAGGCGCGGCGACACCGGTTAGCCCACTTGCACAGCAAGGTCCGGCAGCCGATCCAGTGCCCGAAGTCTCGCGAAGTCATAGCACCGGGCGCCCGCTCGGAGGCGCAAGAAGCTTCTCGTCGGCTTTGCCGACGCTCGTCCGCGGCATCGCGTCGAGGCGGACGATATGTTCCGGAATAGCGTAACGGCTAAGCCGCCCTCTGCGGCCTCTCCGGCGCAACACCTCACTCGTCCCGGCGGGATCCGTCGAAATTCATGAAGGCGAACGGCCTTTCACCCATTTCTGGTCGGGCACCGGATCACTGCCGCCTCACTGGATCGTCCTGTGCCGCCAGCGCCTTCCAGCGCGACGGAAGACACCCATTCGCCTCCGGTCTTGATGACATCCTTCAGCCTATCGACGATATGCAATGCGCCCTCGGCATCGGTTGAGGCGACATCCCGGTGTGCAGCCAACCACCTGCCCAAAGATCGTCCGACGCGACGGGATCGGAATAGCCCGGGTTAGCCATGGCGCTCGCAGGAGCAGTTCGTTGCCGTTGCCGCGGGTCGACGCGTGCGCCAAAGTGAGGAATGGGAAAACCGGCGGGAGAGTTGTGCGGTCGTACCACCTTTTCACCCTGCTGTCGCCGGAACGCGCAGGCACGCGATGACGGGCCCTGGTCTCCGGCATGCCATATCCGCCACCGTAATGATGCTGACCTCGGCGGCATCGCGTGCGGAGGCCTTCAAGCGCGGCACCGCCAATGATGATTGTCGGGGCGACAGTTGCTCGCGGGTTGGTCATTGCCAGCATGCGCAGAATCGTAGGCACGCAATGCGAAAGGGTTACACCCTCGCGGTAACAACGCCAGCAATCGGCGTGGATCGTAGCGACCCGATACACCTGCTTGAGCCCCACATCGTCGCCACATATGGCATGCGGTACATGGACGTGGAAAACATCGGTGTCATCGGTATGTAGACGTCTGATCGACGCATCCCTGCCCGTCGGGGCTGGTTGGCTAGTGCCGAGAGAGCGCCAGCTGATAAAACCAGCCGCCGGTGGGTGAAAAACACCTGTTTGGGATCGCTGGTCGTACCGGTGGTATGAAGGTGGTCGCGACCGCATTTCGTCGAAATCGGGAACTGGAATTGATTAGAGGCCGGCGAGGTTCCTTCGTATCGTCCTCGCCACCCGCGTCCGTCATCCGGATCGTGGCGCGAATGGTCGATAGCGCGGGCAGGAGATCGGCGCAGGTCATCAAAGTCGGTATTGTGCAGTAGCAGACGCCTCTGACTGCCGCAACGTGAAGACGACCTGCTCGGGTGAGAGGCGCACATTTACGGTCTGCAGCACGGCTCCCATCACCGGACGCAAAATAGCACTCGAGATAGCGATGGCTGTCCCATCCGCATCACCGCCACGGTATCCCCCGGCTTGACCCCCTTGGCCGCCAGCAGCGACGCGAGCCGTGCAATGCGGTCTGCCCGGTGTCTTGGTAGGTCAATCGGTGGCGCGCTGACGATCACCGCATCGCTACTATTGGCATGGGGTGAGGTGGCGGATCAACAATGGATAGGAAGTAAGCTGGCGGCCGGTACATCAACAAAACGAGGCAATGCAGCTAATGTCCCATTGGCGGTAGACGTGGCTCGGCGCAACCGATTTTGGTGCAGGATGCCAGCCGGGTGCCACCTGGTCCGGAGACGGATTGGCACCCAAGCTGGCGTCGCCGTCTGAGCTCCGCTATCGAAATCGATCGCCCTTGATGATCTCCGCTATCATCGCGGTTTGGCGCGATGCGAGCCCAGCGTCGAGCTTGTCCATGTGACCGTTCGGCGCCACACCAGAAGATAATTGGGGCCGGCGATGCAGGCGATCATCAGGATGCCGCTTTCGTGAAAGACGCGGGTCGGTCGGCCGGGTGCAGCCTCGACTGCATGACGGGGAGCAGATCGTGCCGTTTGATCCATCGATCAGTAGCTCAGTGAGAGGCCTGCGGGGTCGGCCAGTTCATATATTCGTTGTGGCCCGTCGCAGCATACCCCTTGCCCGGGATATCGGCCCATTCACTCGCCCAAATGCTCGATCGTGAATACCCGCCGCCGCCCACCGCATCAGTTCGGGGTGCGCCCGCGCCCATCCCGTGCTTCCGGGAGTGATCTGCTTCATGTGACCGGGCCAAGCCCCAAACACGAGGGTTCGACGAAGACGCTGCCCGACTGGCAAGCTCGCGAAATGCCGCGCCAACTGGAGCATGGCGATCGCACCATTCTCTCGATGAAATTCTCTACGTCCGTATGGCTGTCGACGATTACGATCTCGTCGGTTTCGCCGGATGTAACACGGCGGTGATCTGCGTACGACTCCATCGATCCATTGTGCGTCGAGCGTGAAACGCGCCGTCCGTCCGCTGGCCTTCGCCGCCGATCGACCAATCACCTGATCTTCGCCGACGAATAGAGCTGGCAATTGCGATTTATATGAAGAAGCGGGGTGCGGCGAGAGAAAATTGCCAGCGATCATCGCCGATGACGCATCGATAACGATCCCTACTGGCCCCCCGCGCCGCCAATTCGTCCATCTGAAGGACGGCATCGTCCATAGTCGATGATAGGGAACGTCGAGTACGTCGCTTCGCGTTCATCCGCAAATGAATGAAGTGCGGACGGACGATGTCATGCAGCGTCTTCTGAGGCAGGCGGGCGTTGAAACGAGGATGCTTCCCTTGGCAAAGTCCGGCATGTGCGCGGGCCCTTGCGGATTGGAGGTCCCATAGACCAAGCCCCTCGACCCCTGCCGATCCGGTCGGCTTCGAACGGACGAAATAGGCCACGTCGCGAACGCTACGCGTGTCATCAGTTTCGAGGATGTCGAGCCCCAACGGGCTCCCCAGCGCGTATAGGCATAGCTCGCATGGGCCCGTTGAGAGCCCGGCCGCGCGAAACTCCCGCGCGAGCAATCGACGAAGCGGAGATGGTTCTTGCTCCTCCCAACCGCGGGCCGAAATCGACCATTGTCTGGTAATCCCGCCTGATCTGGTCCGGCGAAGGCAGAGGTACGGGCGCACGCGACGCCGGGACGAACGCCCGCCCGGCCGAACTGAGGGCAGTCGCGGAAATCGCTGCCATCCAGCAAGGCGGACCGACGCGACAGGATGGAGGGAAGCGGACATGGAGTATCTCCAAAGCAAAACCTATTGCGATTTAAAACTGACATCGACGCCTGCGGTGAACTGACGGCCGACGACGTCGTAAGCGCTGGATTTGTCGGCGTGGTTGAGCAGCACACCATTGGGCGCCAGCGGCAGGTCGCGAGTCAAAAATATTGTTGACGGTAAAAACAGTCAGAAAGACTTTTCCACCGGAACAGCATGGTTTGCGTCCGTATAGAACACCGGTCTAACCCTGTTCTCGATCGTCGTAAATGGATACGAGTCGTCATACGTACGGCGCTGATAAAGCGTTCCTGCGCGAAGAGTTCGGAACGGGCCGCTTGCCCAGTTGATATTGGCCGTCGCCGACCAATGCGGGTTCGCGGTCAGCCCCACCTCGCCAGCTCGATCAATCGGATGTACCGCCGCTGATATCTTGCCGCTGCTCCTCGGGTAGCTCGCCACCGCGCGAACCGCCATCCTGCCGCCAAGTATCGGAGATGAAGGACGATAACCGACCTCGAAAATCAATCCCGCGGTCTTGAGGCGATTGAGGTTGAGCGTCGGCGATTCGATCCGCGTGATCTGCCCGGCTGAATTGCGGGATGTTGGTACACAGGCTGGCCGCTCCAGCGAGCACTGATCGAGCGTGATCTGCGGCGTCAGCGACGAAATCCACCCTTTCAGATCGATTTGGTGGCAGTCGACCGACATCGTCAGGTTGGGAACCGCACGCGGGACGACGACTATGCCCACCAGTATAGGTCTTCGCCCGCTCCGGCTTCAGCGCCGCACATACCGCGCGTCACTTGGATGATCGGCACGGTTACGCCGTTCTCGACGACGGATCCGTATTCTGCACCGTTCCGGCGAACAATTCCGGTACGTTCGGCTAACGAATGTCCCGGAAACCGTTCCGCGAAGCGAACATCCTCGATCGGCTGCCAGACAAGGCCCGCCTTCCACGTGGTCACGCCGCCGCTGGTGCTGTGCCTTGGTATAGCGAACTGCGGCGTTCAGATCGAGCTTATCGAAGAACGGCAGGTTCGAGCAAGTGGAACTGCGCCTCTCGAAGACTTCCCATAGATGATAGCGCCCGACACCGGGAGACGTTCGTTAGCAGATATCCACCCCGCTGGTTCTGATAGGCGGCTGGGAAACCGCGTAAACCTGTCGCGTCGTTGATGCTTGTCGCAATGTCGTCAGACGTCTGATCGAGCCTGATGCGCCGATACTGGCCACCGGCTGCAAGGAGAGACGTCACCCCACGTCGCGAACGGCGCTACGGATCGTGAAATCCGCGACGTCACGCGAAGACGGTCTGAAACGCCGCGCTCCCTTCGACGCAGCTAATCGCCTCGCGCGAACGCCCCTCCCCGAAAGTTGATCGGGATACAACAGGTACAGTCCGGGATTGGTCAGCGTCGCCCGGCAGACTATGGCGTTGGTCGCGGGTTCCGCACCGCATCGACTGCGGCGTATAGTCGCTCGAAGTATGATATTGCTATCGGTCCGATATTGGTACGGTTCCGTCCGCGGCTGAAATAGCCCTCCACTTCCAACGCCTTTCCGCCGGAGTAGCGGAAGCCTGCCTTGATGTCGGTGGTTCGGGCGTTCGCCGTCGCGTTAGCGGGATCACCAAAATCAAAATTCACGCGTCCCATTGCGAACGCCGGCGTGTTAGTGTTGGTGAGGATCTGCTGGACGGCCGGATTGAAAAGGCGTTGCCGCTGTAGATGGTGAAGCCGTTGAAGCCGACCAGATTGAACTGCTGTACCTGATTGTAATGGTTACACGTGGCGCCAGACTCCTTCCGCGAATACGGTCAAGGACGGCGAGATCGTATTCCGCATGCGTGTAAGTAGCTCTGCGTGCGAATGGCGGCAGACAGATTGCTGAATATCTGCGCGCCGTCACCTCCAACCTGTACCAGACCGGATTGGACCGATCCCCCGCGAGAACGGCACGAGGGTACCGCCCAGGGGCAAACTGCTGGAGCGCCAGCGGACCGCTCAGGATTGATCCGCCGGGCGAGCCGGTCGCCGCACGCACGTCGTCGCGAAAGATGAGCTGTCCGCGCACGGTCGGGTTGCTTTAGAAAACCGGTACCTCGTCGGCCCCAGTCCGGTCTGCCGCTTTGCAGACCACCGACATCGAAATAGATGCGCTTGCCACGGTGACCGACCGTCTGCAAACCCGTGCCCCACGGTCAGGTTCACCTTGTGCGACGGAACATCACCCTGCCCGGATTCCCGACTGCGCCGTCAGCTTCATTCCCGGTAAAGCTGGTATCCAGGAACGAAATGACGACACCCGCCGGCATCCGGCCCATAAGCAGCCGATGCGCCACCGGTCACGACATCGACACGCTTTGATAAGTTGCTCGGGCACAGATTGATGTCAGTCGAACCGTCATGCGGACGGCGCGGCGCGACGACCGTCGACGAGACGAGCGTTCGCTGAGGACCGAGGTTGCGAAGATTCAGATAGGCTTCCGGTGCCGGGGCCGGTAGCCCCGTGAACCCCACGGTCGGTCGCGTCGAGCCGCGGAAAACGGGAAGTTGATTGAGCCCGTCTTTGATGAGCCCGGTTGCGCCTTGCTCAGCGTGTCCGCCGAAATCACTGTAACGGGCGTCGGAGCCTGCGAACCGTCGCGCGAATGGCGCGTACCCAGTGACGACGATGTCGGGGTTTCAGAACTTTCCTCACCTCCGCCACCGGCTTGCCATCGGTCGGCGCTTTCTGCATATTTGCCGGAGCGCTCAGTGCCACGCAGGCACACGCATAAAAAGTAGATCCTTGCGGCATTTGCCACCCTTTCCGCATCGGACGTCAGCGCTGTGCGCCATCCGTCCTACCTCAGGCGACCTTGGTCGGCTACAGCAGATAAAAAGTCAATAACCTTCTTCGAAAAGAAATTTTAGGAAGGGAAGGCCGAAATGATATTCATCAGGTATTGCAGCACTTTGGCTCTTGCACGAATGAGTATGGGCGCTGGTATCTCGATCAGCCTTTCCTCATCAGAGGCAGAAAGTCTTGATCGATCATCGAGGAACGTATCGCAGAAGCACCAACGCGCGCCGAGATTGTGTTTTAACGAACGATCGCGTCCCCGCTAACGCGAAGACGCGACGAACCCGGACGATCTGGCCCCCCGCCCCGATAAATAATTGCCGTCGTCGGGCGCAGGCACCACCTGTCACATTACTGTCGTTAAGCTACTGTTTCGTGCTTTGTTTTGCTGAACTCGCAAAGGGCGCGAATTCCCGGGCTGCAAGACCGGCAAGCGATCCGCGGGGGCCGCGAAATCCTCCGAACTTACCGCTCCGTGCGACAGGCGATCAATCCGCCCGGTTTGTCCAAGCGAAAGGTGAAGGCGCCGGTCAAAAACGATATCCCAGTATAACGCTTCCGCGGCGCGTCGGGCAGATCCTGCCCATGTCCTCAATAAAAACGTTAGATACCTCATCGAACACTTCAGACGTTAGGAGTGCATCGCCCCTTTGAACTGTTCACATATGCAACAATTGCTGCGTAATGGCGATATCCTGCATCATTTTTAGTAAATTCGAAACCGGGTCGTACGGGCATCGATTACCCTTCGAGTGTACCTTCCTTCCCATGTTGCTCGCGGTACTCATCGAGCGCACGCATTCTGGGCTTCGTTGATCAACGGGCCGCGGCGGCGAAACACTTCCGCGAAAAGATTTTCTTTGTCATAAAATAGTATCGCGCAGGCGTTATCGACGCCTGCCCTTTTGCCGCAACGTCGTTCAATGTTGCCGTTGTAGCCCTTATATGAAATTCCTTCTCGGCGTGATCCAGAATGTTCCTCATCGATTCCTCACGCCGTTCTTTTATTGGTGCGCTTGGTGATCGTCCGCTGTGCGGCCATAGCTATTCCTCACATTTCGCCTCCGGCATAGCAGCAGGCCACAACGCACTTCAATATTTCTTTTCTGGAAAAGTTTGCACCGAGATGGGCGGCTTACGTATGCTCTGAAATGGCGCATCTCGCGGCAGAAACCCTGCGGACGCCATGTTCGCACCCGCTGACATTGCGAACCATAATCGTGGAATGTCGCAGACCATTGAAGTGCCGGGATTAGAGACCGCATCCAAGGCGGCAGAAACGCGCATAATCGTGCATAATTCATATTGAATGTGCAGATCATGCACATATATCATGGTCATGGCTGATATTCCTTGCCCGTCGCGACGATATCGCTGCCCGTCTTGCGGCGGACAGCCGGTCAACTCCGGTGTTCTTGCAACCGAGTTTGGTGTGTCAGAAGACGCGATCCGCCGCGATCTTGCGGGCCTTGGCTGCGGCAGGGCTGTGCCGCCGGGTATATGGCGGTGCGCTACCACTGGCTTCTGGCGTCGTGCCATTCTCGGATCGGCGGTGCCGACGTCGAGCGCAAGCGGGCACTCGCTCGAGCAGCAATGCCGCTGGTCGCACCTGGCAGCTTCCCTGTTTCTCGACAATGGCAGCACCAGCCTCGTCGTTGCCGAGGAGCTGCCACGCGATAGCGCGACCTGATCGCCGCCACCAGCTCGATCGAGATCGCCGCGACGCTCGCCGCGCGCGGTGATGTGCAGATCCACATGGTGGGCGGCGAGGTCGACACTGTGATCGGCGGTTCGATTGACGGCATAGCCATCGAGGCGGTCACCCGCCTTAACATCGATACCTGTTTTCTTGGCGTCTGCGCGCTTTCTGCCGATGGCGGCGTGATTGCCTTCGATGCGGCCGATGCCACCTTCAACGCGTGCTCGTCGCGCGGAGCCGCTGCACGCTGATCCTCGCCACCAATGAGAAGATCGGTGCACAAGGCCCGCACCGCATCGCCGCGCTGAACAATGCGACCCGCGTCATCGTCGAATATGATGCCGACGAAGCCGCGCTGGATCGCCTTCGTGCAGCGGGCGCCAGATCGATAGGGCCCGGCCCAGCCGGAATTCTGATCGGCCAGACTGGATACGACCATGCCCCCCCGACGCAGGATCGCGTCTTGCGA